GTCAGGATCATGGAAATGATGACTGATCAATAAAAAGAATGAGAAGATAACAAAGATCAATTATTATTAAATTTATACCTAAAAATTAACAGATGAGATAAAAAACATTTTGATCCCTCACAGAATCCTAACTGAACCTCGCTGTATTTTGATACTTCRAAAAGGAATTTCATTCAAAACAAATAATACAAGAACATCTAATCTCCAAATGTTAATAAAGTATACAACTGTGTTAGAATGTTAACTGTTTGGCTGAATTGGATCTTTTTGAAGGGTGGAAATTCGATTTGGAGATTGAGCTGCCTTCTCCCGTCCCTGTCGGGAATACTAACGATGCATGTGGAAAATGAGCCAAACCAGCCACTTTGTGATGCTAATACAGGAAAGCCAGAAAAAGCAACAGCGTCCTTTGAATCTGAGCAGCTCGAGAGAAGAAAGACAGATTGTTTTTGAGCATTTTTTTTTCTATTTGTGCCTTAGGTTGTATGTTTGGGGGAGGCTGCCATTCGTTAGCTTTCTCATCTTGTATTTGCCTGTTTTTATTTATTAAATGCAAGCTGTTTGTTAAAGATGAAACATTGTTGTCCAAGCTCAAAAATTAGCATAAGATTAGTGTTGTTTATCTATTGTCTCTATTCTAAAATGTATCGTGTTAACAAATTTAAGTTGTAGAGACTTTTACGTGGAAATGTTTTTTAATGCAAGTTTAGCCATAATTTCTGTAACAGGTTATAACTACACCTTTTCATCCTTACTTAATTATTAATAAATGGTTAGTTAACCTTGAAAATATCATTACTTAAGGATGATTTATACTTAATAAGCTATAAGTTATCTTTACCTATAAAGGCTAATTGCATGCTTAATAACTCATGAATTAACTACTCTATTTACTGTGTGTATGTATGTAAATGCTCATTTATATACATATATACACACAGGTAAAAAAAAAAAACAACTTGTTGCCCTTCAGGCTTTTGTCCATTAAAAAATATGTTAAAAAGACATAAATAGTCTTCACTTCAGAAGTGTTCACAAAAAGACCTAACTACTAACAACTGCCTAAATTATTGATGCACTGCAGAATTAGTATAGTCCAGGGCTGTTCAACTAAATTTCTCTGGGGGCCACAGTTACAGCAAGCGATTATGTAATTAAACCAAGTATTAGTAAGTAAGTAAGTAAGTAAAATTTAATTTATAAAGCGCCTTTCACAGAAATATATTCACAAGGTGCTGTACAGTCATTAACAGTATAAAAACGGTGGAAAGAATAAGATGAAACAGAAAAACATAATTACTTATAAGCAACGAAAATTGAACATTAAATCAGGAATTAATTTCTAAAATTGTAAATCAAACACAAGGTCAATGCACGTCAAAATATACAATAATACACAAAAACATAATGAATGCGGGAGAGAAAATATGGCGTAAGTTCAATAATAAAGAAAACAAAGATTAGCGAAGCATTCACAGTGGAGGTAGGTTGGCAGTAATGGTGAAATGGTTAGCTAAACACTTTAGAGAAAAGGTGAGTTTTTAGGAGTGTCTTGAAAGAGACAATATTATCAAGGGAGCACAGATTAAAAGGGAGTTCATTCCAGAGCCTGGGGGCCACAGATGAGAAGGCACGGCCACCACGGGTCTTAAAGCGAGTGAGGGGAACCATAAGGAGATGTTGATCCTGTGAGCGGAGGTCTCGTCTGGGGTTGTAAGGGGAAATGAAACTTTTAATGTATTCAGGGGCTTGTCCATGAAGAGCTCTGAAGGTGAGGACCAGGACTTTGAGCCGGATTCTGAATGGAACCGGAAGCCAGTGAAGTTCTGCTAGGATCGGGGAGATGTGGGTGAATTTGGAGGTTCAGGTTAGGAGTCTTGCTGCCGAGTTTTGGACAAGCTGAAGACGATTTAACTGTTTCTGGTTAAGACAGGTGAACAAGCTATTACAATAGTCTAAGCGGGTAGAAATGAAGGCATGAATTACCATTTCCAAGTCTGAAGTGGACAGAAGGGGCTGGAGTTTTGAGATATTACGGAGCTGAAAATAGCAAGTGGAAACCAGGTTCTTTATGTGTTTATCTAGTGATAGATCTGAGTCAAGATWTACTTGCACACATTCTGCTTAGCAGTTGAACTCAAAGAGCTGAGATGTTCTTTTATCTGATTTTATTTTCAGGGGCCAGGATCAGTGTCTCTGTCTTACTGAGGTTTAAAAGTAACAAGTTGTCAGACAGCCACTGGTTAACTTTTGTGACACATTTTATAAGAGAGGTGAGCTTGTGAGTGGTGGAGGGATTAAAGGAGCAGTATAACTGCAGGTCATCTGCATAGAAATGGTAGGAGATGTCTGGGAAATTATTGATGACCTCAGTCAGGGGGCGAATGTAGAGCAGGAATAGAATTGGGCCCAGGATGGAACCCTGTGGAACTCCGCAGGTGAGTTTGGCTGAGTCAGAGAGAGTTTGACCTAATAAGACTGAGAAAGAGTGGTCTGAGAGGTATGGTATTGCAAAGGTATTACAAAGATCTGTTACCTTTGAAATAGTTTTTTTTTTTGCTGCATTTAATCCTGAATACAACATACAGAACCCTATGTAATAAAAGTAGTTATAATAAAACAACAAAACCAAAAATAACACATTATTTCCCACAAAAATATTTTGACGTCTCTGACTTGCCAAATTTTTAAATCAATTTTATTTTCACTTTCATAGTTTTATGTTCAACTGCTTGTAGTTTTAAYTGTTACTTTTAGCCAAGATTCTAGCATTTCTGTAGACACCAAACATGTCATTAAAGTAGAAAACCGGGGGTTTGGGCTCAAGAGATAAACGAACCAATTGGCGGATCAGACTTTGGTCACTTTGGGCCATCAGTTGAATAGCCCTGGTGGTCAGTTCAAACATTCTCCAACCATTGATACATGTCTAACACACGATGTGAAAGTACATTTACAAGAGCACCTGGTTCTTAACCTGGGTTCGATCGAACCCTAGGGGTTCAATGAGCCGGTCTCAGGGGTTCGGCGGAGCCTCTGCTGCGGAGGTAAAGACACACTTGTGTAAAGTCGTGATGACATGCCCCGCTTGGCCATCACTTGCCACAGAGGATCACGTGAGATTGTTTGGCCAATCAGTTCTGGCCCTAAAAAAGTATTTTGTGGATTCAAAACAACAAAAAACAAATTAGCTTTAAAATAATTTTAAAAAGTTATAAAAAGTGTTAAATTCTTCAAAAAAAATCCTAATTTATTTTTTATTAGTAAAATAGTAAAAAATATTTTTTGGGTGCTGAAATTTTTTTATGGGGCCAAAATATTTTTTTGGGGCCAGAATAAAGTCACATTGTAATTTGTTGTGAGTTCATGCACTGTTGGTTTTGTTCTTTGAGCAAGGTGATGTTCATGCACGGCTCATTTTATACACCAGCAAAAAAAAAAAAAAAAAAAACATGTCTTGAATTTGGAAAATAAATCATATTTTATTTATCACTAAAAAGGGTTCAGTGAATGCGCATACGAAACTGGTGGGTTCGGTACCTCAAAAAAGGTTAAGAACCACTGGAATGAGTACATTGGTTTTGGAAGTAATAAGCCATTATGGGTAAAGCATTAATGATGAGTTAATTTATGACTTATTAAGTATGAATCATTCTTAATAATTGATGGTTTCAAGGTCAGCTAATCATTTGTTAATGATTGAGTAAGGCTGAATAAGGTGCAGGTTTTAAAGTGCTGCCGCAATTTCAATAATGAAATTTGACTGTAAGGGTAAAACATTTATAAGAATATTGAGACACTTATTTGCAGTCAGTCATGTTTCTCCTTCTGTCTTGCAGCACAGTGGATTAATGGTTAGTACTGTTGCCTCAAAGTAAGAAGGTYCTGAGTGGGTCGGTCCTGGGTCAGTCGGTTCTGGGCTCCTTTTGTGTGTTTAGGTTGCTTTCCTTCACATACTCCCCTTCAAAAATGATCTTAATCTTTAATCTTGATCATAAAAAGTGATCTTGATAGGATTTCTCAGTTAAATAAACATAAATATTTTCTTCTTTGACAATAATTTAAAGACAGCTGAACACATTTTGTGCAGATTGGTGGCCAAACTAACAACAAGCTGACAAAGTTTGATTCCTTTAGATGTAACTGATTGTTTCACGCTGGCTTTAATTAGTTCAGCTGGTTGAACTTTTGGCCCTCAGCCYAGTTTTGTAAATTATTGTCTATTGTTAATTTGTTTAACATTTATTTGCAGGTTTTTAGAGCACCAACTCTCACTTTGGAACCTTTTTCAGCAGAATCTGAAAATCAGATAAGCCATCACTGTCAATCTTTTTCTTGCACAACAGATGGGTTTTTCACCACATGAAGACCTGCTTGGGCAGCCAAGCAGCAAATTTACTTACTGTGTGTTTGTATCTAATTGTAGAAGTAATGTCTCATGTTTCTTTTTTCTTTTTTAAATGTCACACTCCTGTTTCCTCTTTGTTGGTGGCTCCTAAGCAAATTCTCGGGCTATTTATGAAAAATCGAACTCTCCATGTTGAAATAGCATCACTGGTCTACCAGTTCAACCCTAAAACAGAACTGAGATGGAACAGATGGCGACGACGACAGTAAAAAGCTCAGCGGTCTGAATATTTTCTTTTTTTTTTCTCAGCACACCGGTGGCTTTGGGCTCGGCTGCCAGGAATTTAAGAGACACAGATGCAAATGTGAAAACTTTGAACATTTTCTTGAAAAAGTTGTCTGAGAATATTTTAAGGCTAATAAAAGTGCTGGAGAAAATAAAAATCAATGTTATTAAAATAAGTTGTGAATGTTATTCACAACTTAATGTTATTATACAATGTTATTAAAAGAGTTAAAACACAAATACTTGAATTTAGGTTACTTGGTGGGACATGGTTCCTCAAAATAATTTTTAAGTTTTCCAGTGTGAACGGCCAAACCTGAAATAAACATAAAAAAATTTGTATAAAAGATTTACAGTACTTTGGGTTTGTTGGTAAGTGAAACTCTTTTGAATATCTATTTAAATCTCTCCACTGCCATTTCAACACTTGAGACCAATTGACTGAGTTTGTGGTGAAAAAAAAGATATTCTGTGGATTTTCCTTATTTAAATTTGAAGAAAAACTTTATTAAAACATAACTGATGTCAAGATGAAATTAAGGTCCATTTGATAAAACATTAAAGTCATTAAACGGCCTTGTATTCCTGGGGAATATTTGTCAAGACAAACAAAGTTGTATCAGTTTACATTAAATCTTGAAAATATGTGGGATCTCTTGCAACACTGTAAAATGTTTTGTGATTTTTAGTGCTCGAAGTATGTATTGAGCTACTCTCAGCTACTACTACACCACAGCTCAGTGCCTGTAAAACTGAACAATGGTTGTTACRTTTGCTGTGGTTTAGCTGTGGTGGCCATTTTGAATGAGGTTGACTCCAAAAGTTGTTCCGTTGCAGACGTGAAGACATTCATCACATTCTGAAGGTTTCATTAAAATCTGTTCCCTCTAAAAAAATATCATAGAAATGATCATAGGCTTGCTAATGTAGCTGAAAATGTTGGATACCACTAAGGTATCAATGTATCAAGACATAATGTTACACAGAAAAACATCAAGAAAATGTGCATGCGTTAAATCTTTTCAGAATATGACAACTGATTTTATGTGAGGTTTAGGGTAAGGATGTTAGGCTTTAGAAACAACTGTAAATGAATGGAAGTCAATAAACAGTCCCAATAAGGAGAGAAATACAGTCTTCTGTGTGTGTGTGGGGGGGGAGTTGTTAAGAAAACAATTTGACAACAAGAGAAAATAAAATTTTAGAGGCCTCTTTTAAATGGAGGTACATACAGCTTCAGAAAATAGCCAACTGACAGGGTTATTACTGTACATGTTACCACAGTAATGATGTCATTTGAAAAATATTTTTACGAACATGGGCCTAGCCGATGCGTGGGATGTGGATTTCCTCCCACCTCTACAACTGCATCCCTCAGTATCTATTGAAGGTTCTTATTTTCTCATTGAGGTTTAAAAAGCTACAACCACTTCTACCATTAACTAGTGTACCTCTGATGCCTGGGTAGATCGGAATTTTTTTTTTCTTTCTACAGAGGTGTTGTCAAAGAGCATCCGCTGCTGTGTAGCATTAATGTTGCYCCGAGCTGCAAGAAGGTAAAAAGCTTTTTTAGACGGAGATCAAACAGTTTATATAAAAACAAGTTTGACAGACTGAAACAATTTAAAAGTGGCCTGAAGTAGCACACTGGCCACTGGAACATTTTGTGGTATTTACAGACGAGCATGCTGCAACCAGCATCCTGTTTGCAAGCTGGACTACCTTTTGTGTTTACTTGTGTGTGTGTATGTGTGTGTGCGTGTCTACGGAAAACATCAGCAGTGCTTCAGTATTTCTCCTGTCAACAGATGCAAAGCAGAAGAGGCACTGAATAAAGTACACCAGCTGAATTTATTAACTTATGCTAAAAAAGGCAAACTACATTTTTATTATATTGTAATAAACATTGAGACATTGCAGATTCACTGTCCTTTTCTTTCTGACATGAATTTTCCTAAAAGAGAACCAGTGGGTTTTGAGGTTGAAAGGGATTTTTTTTAATTTAAAAAAATGCTTAGTTGTATTTCTGCATTTGTATTGAAAGTTTACTGTCTTTTTTATTTTTATTTTTTTTATTATTTTTTAGGAGAAATCTGACCAAACTGTCCTTGCTGTTCAGTCACATGCTGTGGGAGCTAAAAGCAATGTTTCCAAGAGGCTATTTTCAAGGTGACACTTATAAAATGAATAAAACTGAGGCGGACCAGTTTTGGAGGAACTGTTTTGATAACATGTGAGTGTAAAAATACCTTGTGATCAGTCATTTGCACGGTTTGCTCTGTGCACACATATAGCCTGAATGTGTTTCTGTATTCTGATAGGTGTATAGTCCTGTGGAAAACATTCAAAGAGAAGCTGAAAAGTGTGCATCATTTTGAGGAAGGGATGGAGTCCATGGCCCTGAAATCAACTATTGATCTGACCTGCAATAATCACGTCTCAGTGTTTGAGTTTGACATTTTCACAAGACTATTCCAGGTGAGCAGGATGCTTCCAGGACATTCTGTTGAGGTCAWTCAAAGGACTAACTTCAACAGACAAGATAATAGTTCTTCAAGTCTGAAAAACATCTCAATTATTACTTTAGGTTGTTGCATCTGCCAATTTTTTTTAATATATCCTTATTTTTTACCTTACATTTACCCTTTTTAGCCTTGGAGGTCTCTCATAAGGAACTGGAACCAGCTAGCTGTGACCCATCCAGGCTACATGGCCTTCCTCACATACGACCAGGTTGTAGCTCGACTGGAACATTACCTGCGCCGACCTGGGAGGTGAGCAAAATATCTCACAATTTGTTTATTTGAATAAAAATCCAGTTTCCTGTCAAGCAGGGCCGGCCCTAGCCAAATTGGTGTCCTAGGCAAGACTTTATGTGGCTTTCCTTGTTCATTTCTTTCAATCTCACTGCCAATTTACAAACATTCACATACTAAATTTAATAGTTCTGTCTTTGATATTGTTTTTTTTTTCTTTAGAAACCAGGTTGTTCAACTAAAAGCTTTAACAATRTAATTCATTTGAAACAGAAAACAGAAGTCTACCTCATATCTGCCAGCAACGGCTGACAGCAATGAGGAAAACCTGTTCATGTTAACAAGCAGCTGTGGAGTGAAGTAGCTCTAGGGGGGTCCAGGGGTATACTCCAATGAAGAATTTTTATAAAACATTTACTTAAAACTATACATTTCTTGAAGAGCATTTTACTAAATTTCTGGGATTCATAAAACAACATAAAATCAGTATTTTTTTATCATGACTGAAACTTCCTTTATTCTTATTTTGTTTCTATTTACACATTGAGCACCGGTATTTAGCTATGATAAGTACAGTACACCTTTTTGATTGTTTTAGCAATTAGGTCATAATAAAAATGTTCAGGTATTGAAAGGGGTTAACATCAGGTGAAAAATACATATTACAACATGATATACAACTAAATACAATAAAAAGTAACTTAAAATACAAGGGCAGAGTGATATATAATTAAATGCATCCTATATTTCTAAACTTTACAGAGTCCATCACCTTTACCAGCTTGAAGTATTCCTATCAGTTGCAGAAAGAAAAACAGTTTTCATGATGGTGCTTCACTTTATTAATATTTGCAGATTTTTCTTCATGTCTAAAGTCCTTCAATGGTATTTCAATAGATTTGAGGTCTAATTTTGCTGGGTCTCTGCAAGACCTCCATTTCTTCATTTATCAGCTAGTCTTCTTTCCTATTATTGTTTCAATAATTGTGATTTTGTTGATTCCTGACTTTTATTGTTTTATAGTTCTTCTCTTACTGTGACTCTTGAGTGACATAACAAGCACCTTCAAATGAATGATGATGATGATGATGATGATGATGATGATGATGATGACGATGATGATGATGATGATGATGAAGAGGATGTAGATTTGCTGCTGTGCTGGAGATTGTTAGCCTGTTCTTTCATTTGTTTAAGCCACAGTCTTCAGGCAGACAGCCTCACATTTGCCTCTGTTTTGGCATTTAGAGTTGTTCATGGTTGACTTTATAAGTTGCCCACATCCTGGTGTTGTTAACCAAGTCCAGACCATCAGCCTTCCACCTCTATGCTTGACAGTTCACATTTTGTGTTGGATTTTCACAGGTGACAAAAATATTAACATTCATTGCCTAAGCATAAGAATATATACAAGTGATTTAAAAGACATTTTTGAGAGTAGAAATATAAATTAAAGCTTTTTACTCAAATAAAAGTGTAAAAGTACTGTTTTTAAAACTATTTAAAATATAAAAGTAAAAGGATAGCTCAAACAAAAAGGATAAAAGCTTAAGCCGTGACATCTCCCCATTTTCCTAAAGGCATTTATGACTATAAAATATAATAAAATGATAATGTTGAAATATTTCTGATATGTTAGGTTTCCTGTATCAGCCTCATCTGCCACAGCCATCTTCATACTCGGCTACATAAATCTGCTGTGTCCTGCTGGAGTGTGATTTGATTTGTGTCATACAGGTGTGATGGATCGTACAAACCAATAGGGTGTCAGAATGGTATATATTTATACTTGGCATCCAACTTCAAATTCAATCTAACCAGGAGGTGCCATATWTCTAGWTTTTTTTCTCTGAATGACAAKCCAGAATRAAAACAAGCCAAARGGAAGCAGAAATGAAAYAAGTTCCATATTTTTTAAAATGTAAGGAGTWGAATTAAAAGGTTTGCAACTCCAGTAAAAGTAAATAACCCAAAAAATTTACTTTAATAACAGTATTTGTACTTCATTACTTGACACCTCTGCTTGTTTTCAATCAAACCTCAAGTCAAAGTTTGTTCAGACAAATTGTTGCCAAAAAAAAGGCTGTTTTGTCATGTTAGGTTGTTTCCTCACCTTTTTTTAAAAAACAACTTTTTGACAGAAGTTCTACRTGTTTAGTATTTCTGTGACTCTTTTGGTCCGAGCTTTAACTCTAAACATGTTTTCTGAAACCTTTAAGCTTTAAAATTTAGATTTGTTCATCACTTCAAAGCATAAGCACTTCAAGATGAACGGGCAGCACTAAAAACTTRCACGTTCGAAATGACTTTTCAACATTTCCCACACTGAGGGATAGCAACAATTGCTTCTCTATTAAGCACATGATTTTGAAATGTTTGCAAACAAAATGAACTATCATTAAAATAACCCTAAACAATGTTTAGGTAAATGAAATGCAGATTAATTATCTAAGCGTCTCYAAATTTGTATCTACTTTGATTCTCTGTATTTAAACAACTTGGATTAACAAGAATCTGTTTTCTATTAAGCTACATTTTTCGTCTGAGCTGCACCCGCATGGGTCAGTGGGCTRTTGGCCATGTGACCATTGAAGGTGACATCATCCAGACCATTCCTCAGAACACACCTCTCTACCAGGCACTCATTCAGGGCTTCAAGGAAGGCTGGTTAGTGCAGCACACACACACACACACACACTGGTCAAGCACTTATTTTTTCCTTCATTAAAATGTTTCCTGTAAGRGCTGTGTTCCTGTTCCTGCAGTTACATTTACCCAGATGGCCGTGACGTGAACCCTGACCTGACAAGCTTGTGTGAACCCGCYAACAAAGAAAAAGTCAAAGTTTCAGAAGTAAGATGCTTCTGTTTTTTTTTTTTAATCTGGTTCACAGTGAACCGTGAACAGAATCTTGATTCTTGTGATGTTTTCTGCTCTGTCATGTCTCGCTGACCAACCACCCAACAGGAGCAGTATGAGCTCTACTGTGAGATTGGCAGCACCTTCCAGCTGTGTAAGATCTGCACAGAGAGGGATAAAGACATTCGCATTCATCCCTGTGGACACCTTCTGTGTCGATCCTGTCTCACAGGATGGCAGGTAGAAATCCCAATTTATTTATTCGAAAATTCACCCATGCTGACCTGCCTTCAAAAATATATATAAAATAAATAAATAAATCACAGCGCGATGTTGGAATAATATTACACATTCTTACTGCAAGCCTGTTGTGTTCAGTGAAGGGAAACAGTTGGGGTTGATTGAAATGGATGTATGCTTGTATGGTACAGTTTGGTTGTTGGTTGTCCTCTTAACTTATGTGTGTGTGTCTTATATATGTACGTTTAAGCATAATTGCTGACAATGGCATGCAGGGTTTTCGAGCATAGCCCCCCCAATGGTAGACCAGGTTTGAGCCCAGGTTGTGTCAGAAAGGGCGCTTGGAGTAAAACACTGGTTAAATATTTGTGTGCGTTCACTTGATGTGGTGATCCCAGAAAAAGAAGCAGCCTGAAAGAACAACAACAAAAAAATACCTTTTGGATTAAAATATCATTTATTCTAAACCAGAAGAGCCCAAAGTGGGGCCCGCGGGCCAGATTTGGCCCACCAAGCCATTTGATTTGGCCCATAGGTTGTAAGCTGTTATCCTATAGGTAGAAACACAGTGTTTCCATTGGTCAAATGACTATAAAAGGGCTGTAGTGAAGGTAGTTTTCAGTCTTGGTGCTGACATATCTTTGATTTATTAGGATTAAACATGAAACATGAAACGACAACAAGAAATATTTAGGTCAGATTTGACCCCGCATGTAGATTTGCACACTTTATAAGGCCACAAAAACTCATATTTTATCTATTTATGAAATGTCCCATGAGCCTTTGCTACTTGAGCGTATGGCAGACTTTCTCCAAGTGCACAGACTAAAACAAAAGAGGGCCATTGCACAGCTTAATTGTTCAAAATAAATGACTTTACTTAAAAAAGTATTTGTATTTCATGTATTATATAACTGCATCTGGCCCGCAGCCATGGATAGATTTTCATTTTGGCCCCCTCAGGGAAAATGTTTGGGCACCCCTGTTCTAAACTATGTGAAACTACCGTAGGTTCTAAAACAAAACATATTCCAGAGAGTTTTGAAACTTGTTCTTGTTTTTATAAGAAATAATACAAGGCTTAATGTGTAACTGTAAAGTATTAAATCACAGCTGATCATGGTGTACCTCTGACTGATCCAGTCCACTGCTCCAGCAGTAGGACTTCCCCGACTTCCTACTTCCTCTTTCACTAACAAGAATTATAGCTCTATATTCAGCCGGTGCTCTTCCATCTGCACAGAAGGTGCGTCRTTCTTTGAAAAACAGAAAAGCAGAGCACCATGTTGTGACGTTTGGCCCAGCATTTCCTGTCAGATCAGCTTCACATCCTCCTCAAACAGTATCTGTTGCATTCTCTTATAATAAAAATCATGTGTGAGTGTGAAAAAAACGACATATTATTTTAAATAAGCCTCAGAAACATCAAAACGCATRCTAGAAGAATCTAACCTAGGGGTATTTTAATGACGTGCAAACTGCAAAAGTACATGACTTCTAAGATTAGTTAAAATGGTACAACTCACCTTCCTTCTCRCCTCAACAACAAAGTGGAAAACCGCAGTGTCTGTCGAACACGGTATTTTCCAAGCAGCATGGCGTCTTCTTGTCTTTGAAGACTAACGATATTCCACTACAAACACTTCAGAAGGTGCAAAGCAGTTGTATTGACTAGTGGGTTGCCACACTGATGTTAACTTTCCATATCTTTAAATGTGTTGGGCCCTTGGTAATAATCTAGCAGAAGTCAGCTGGTCACACCTGCCCGTACTGTCGCTGCGACATCAAAGGGACAGAGTCTGTTCTCATCGAGCCMTACCTGAAAGGCAGCCATCAGTGGGAGGAAGATGATGACAGCGAAGAYGAGGACCACGAGGACATTGAGGTGGTGGTAAAGGAAATGGCAGCACTGAGAAAGGTGTGTGAATGTGTTTTTGCACTCCTTTTTTTTTGCCCATCTGTCAAACTGAACTGTTGGTTTGTCCTGGAAAACGTTGTTCAAGATAAAAATTTCACAACACTTTTAGTTTGTATTTCCAGGAAATTAAAATTTAAACAAGTTTAGATGATAATGCAGCAAATCAGAATGGTGAGCCACAAGGGGCTGATTCAAAATTATGGATATGAAGTAGTTATTAGTAGCAAGCATGTTACCTGCAGTAGATAACAATCATAACACTTAATTTGGAGGATTAAAAAAAATCTACAGAGTCCAGCTAATGGCTAACAGCTAGACTGGCTTCAAGTGTATTTCAGACTTTTTTTTTACACTGCATTATTTTTGCCTAAGGTAGACTGGATACTCATGCTGTTTTGCTGATTGCAGCTGACTGTAAACTGTGTTCTAACATTATCAATGAGCGTAATTTTGCACATGAATCCTGAAAGTTTACAACTGAGAATTTATTGTTTTGAGGTTTGAGTTGTTTTAGATGATCTGCTCCTGGATAGATGCCAGTCTGAATAACATTTAGCTTCATTCCTTCATTTTCCAAACTGGTATATTTTTGGCTTGTCTACTGCAGGTTTGGAATACTTGCCAAATTATTTTGTCAAAATGCAAACATGCTATAGGATTACTGATGTTAACATTTTCAAAACAAAATAATATTGCTAACATGTAAACATTAAAAGTGTCAGTAAACTGGCAGTATATTTTTAACTAGTTTTCCCTTTATCTGCAAACCATATGCTTGTAAATAGTTAAACACATTTTATTAATAATTTTCAAGTCATACAGTTATCACTGCAGAACTTCACCAAGCGAGCAACATGTTTACTTTTTGTATTTTGATTAAAAAAAAGTTTTTTGCACTTGTCTGCAACTAACGAAACATGTTTTTTAAACAGTTTTCAAGTTCGGACAACCAGGTGYCCGTCTCTCATTTTAAAGCTCCACCACTGCCCCCTAAAACCAGCAGTGCCCCAAACTGCTCGTCTCCCTCCGGCCAATCTCAAACATCACAAATAAAGGCATTTGAAGATTTCACTCACTCTCACTCTGTAAGTTTCCTCAGACACTTAAAACATTTGCTTATCGGTGTTGTTTGTCTTGACGATGTGATATTTTGTTTTTGGTGATTTTTTTCAATGTTTTTTTTTTCTATAGGTCAACAGTGACAGAGAAGCGCAAATGCACAAACCACATAAAAACAGGTGAGAAGGAATTCACTGCACAGCAAAAACAGCGATAAACCAGATATAAATATGAGCATGCCATTTACATTTTGAAGCCATTTCCTGTCCCTCATTTAAATGTCATGCAATGTGATTAAAATATGTTCTACATTTCTTTTTTAAAAAGTTTGATTTTGACTACCAATTCCTATTATTAATTTCAAAGTCGTTATAAATGAATAAGAAATAAAGAAAGAAAGAGATTTTTTACAGAAGGGCACAATAGGAGCCTGTAATCGCTTACTGGCAAGAGACCTCACAGCATAAACCCGCATTTTGTTTGTATCTGAGTTTGGAGTTTTGAGTTAGTCATTATCAGAAAGGCCAGTTTTATAAGTAACTTATGTAACTGTTCATAAGTGAAACTTTTCCTCCCCTGTATTTGCATTTCTGTTTAAATTCTGTCTTTCACAGGTCTGAATTTCTCGGAGAAGCAAGACTCTCCTCCTCCTCTCAGACCGGTGTTGATTGTGAGTTTACAGTCCTGACCCTGGGATGTTGCACTGAAAATATAATGTTTTCCCACAATTAAATATCTTAACAATTACCTACCATACTTTATAAAAAAAACATGAATTTTATTTCTATACATAAAACCTTCACACATCTAATAATTAAGTGAGAATGCTCAAAATAAAAGTAGGGGAAAAAAGATTCTGGGGAGAAATAAATAATTTTAAGTCATATAAAGTGCTGCTGCCTAAATGAAAAATTTAGGTTTATTATAATTTCATCTGTTTTTCCTTTCACCTGAGCTTTACAACCAATTGATTTCGAACGCACTGCAGCTGTTGAATCTTGCCTCATAATACACCAAAGGCTGTTTTCACTTGTAAAAAAGAAAACAAGACAAAACTTCCTGTCTGTGTTACTGATTTAGTTGGGTCCTTTTAGTCACCGCTGCACAGGAAGCAGAAGACAATGACTTCCAAAAAATGAAAATAGTTCAAAATTGCAGGTTCTAAAAAAAAGTTTGAGCTAACTTGTAAAAGAAGCAGACTTCACTTCCTCTAAAAAGGTCACAAAGGTTATTTTTACACTCAGAGCGTGGTAGAATGTGTCTTTAAAAAAAAGCAGAACAAACTTCTCATTCAGGTCTTATTGGTATAACATGAAGAATTTCTAAGTGTTTCATTTTCACCTCAAATGTGATAAAATGTAGATTTTGACGTACAGCTGAGGTGAGATAAGAAAGCTCCTCGTTAAAAAAAAGATGCAATGCACAAAGTGAAAAGTCACACTCAAAACATGATGGGCTCCGAATAAACAAAAACAAAGGAAAGGAGTGTTTTATAAAGCCATGTGTACAAAAAAAAGGATTAAAAAGTAAGGTTTGCACTATTATTGCAATGAGCATTTCTATTGTTTGTTTTGTGTAGGTGCAGCAGCATGGATCGGACCTTCCAGTCCTGTCGATGAAAGAAGACATAAACAGAAGGAAAAAAGTGGAGGAAGACCAAGAAAAGACAGAACTAGCTTGGGAGACTTAACACGAACAATGTCATCTTGAATTATTATTTTTTTAATCCACTGTACGGAGTCAAAACAAATTAACCAAAAAAAAAGGATTGATAAATTTAAGCCTGAACATGCAAAATAAGTTCTCTGTGGTTTTGTGCCTGACAGTAAATGACCTTATGTTTGCTGCGCAGCTGAAAATGAAAGGAAGGGGCGGGACTGAGAAAAAAACTCCCACTGTGACACCCAACTGTTCAGTAATCACACTGTTGTTATCTGTGCAGTGAGTTCAGCACTAATTCCTAAGTTTAATCTCACACACCATCTTATTTTTAATTAAAGCCTTTAATAAACCTCCTGGAAATAAAAAAGGGCTTGAAAATTTAATTACGGGGGACGATGGTGGCTAATTACGAGGCAAAATAAATTATTGGTAACTGAGCAAAAACGCAACCTTGTCTATTAACACATATTTTCTGAAATATGTTAGATGAATGAGGGCTTGTGTGTTAATTTATTACTGAGTCTTAAATTTGACAAGTAAACTTGTAACTGATACATTCATTAAGAATTAAATTAAATTAAATTAAATTAAATCAAATTAAATTACATTACATTACATTACATTACATTACATTACATTAAATTAAGGATTTAGCATTCCTTGAAGATTATTTTGTGCTGAGAAATGATAAAGATGCAGCCATTTTGGTCAAACATTAAAAATATTGTTTTGTGCAATCTCATCCAAAATTGCTCAGCTGATACTGCATCGAATTTTACATCAGTATCTGTAAACTTGACTGAGTTATAGTCAATGTTTTTGTGTTTTTCAGCCATCCTGAACTGGATTGACTGCGAGGATTAATAATTTAATAATGACAATTAATAAATACCCAGAGGTTAACAAAAACCATGAGGTTTTATTTATTACTGTGACACTTTGACATGTGTGGTTTCAGAAATACAGTATGGGAGGATAGGTCAAAGAAAAGACTTTATATCTAATCTCTCCTACATTAAAAGTCTAGAAGGGAAGTCAGAGAAATAGTTGAAGTAGATTGGTGAAGAGAGAATGAAATTAAGATCAGYGATTTGTGGCAAGAGAGGAGAAAATAAGTGGGGTTTTTTAATTCAGGAATAAGCTGCCAAAGTTTCTTCGATCCAGTAGAGGAACTCACACACTTTGACATAAACGCCGGGGTAGTTGGGTTGAGCACAGCCTCGGCCCCAGGACACGAGGCCGTGCACTTCTCCAGCACACACCAGGGGGCTCCCAGARTCACCCTGACAAACACAGACAGGGTGAGCGTGAGCCAAGCAGACAACAGGTGCAACAGATGAAGGTGGAAAGCAGTCAAACTCACATTGCATACGCCTCTGCCTCCATCCATGTACCCGGCACACACCATCCTGCGCGTGATCATGCCTGGATAGGCCTTCTCGCAGTCACTGTCCTCCACTATGGGCACGTCCAGACACTGCAGACGGGTGGGAAGGTTCACTGCAACAGAAAAACGCGGAGCATCAACCAAACGTTACTCGTTTTTAGCTTTTTTGTTTCCTCTCATTCAAATCACCTTCTTCGCCATCCATGGCGGTGTTTCCCCATCCAGACACAGAGCAGGGGAGGCCTCCCATCGGGCACCCTGTGGGCAGGGGGATGGGTGCGACTGCCTCGGTCACCTCCACAGGATGGAAGAGCTTGATCAGCATGATGTCGTAGTCCAGAGTCTGGTAGTCATAGCTGCACATGGAGACACCTGAAATGAACTTCAATCGCTTTTCTGCACTGATTTATTAAAAATATAAACCCAAATGATCGCCAGAAGTCACTATTTTATTTTGTAGTGTTTATCAGACTATGGTGAAATGTTTTATTGTAAATAAAACCAATATTTTGAAGGGATATTGCTTTTGTTTGTTCCAAACAGAGCAGAGCATGACCGCACCTGTCTCTTTAAACAGGTTTTTTTCTGCTCTGATTTGACAGCAGATTGGTTTAAAATGTTCTGTGCTGCAAGGCGTTTGCTCATTTTGTGTTTTAGCCATGCTTTCCCAGTCACTACACAGGCATTAAATGTGAAGGAATACATAAAAGCTTTCCTAAGCAGTTCAGGAACTGCRTCTTCTCTGAGGGATATTAACCTTCCTTTGTGTGGATTTTAAGCTTTGTAAGTCTGAACAACCCCTGCATGCACAAAACGCTCACGAAGAGACAGAGAAAAAGGCCCAGAAAGCAGAAAATTTTCTACTTTTAAGTTGTGCAAATGAAGAGACAGAAACGATGGAGCGTTTCTTTCATYCACCTGGGGTGCCAGATGATGGTGTCAGTCTTCACGAGCTGCTCTGTTCCCTCGAACACACGGACGTCATGTTCTCCCAGGAAGATCTGCATGTAATAAGGACTGAGAAAAGGAAGAAACGAAAGAAGAAAAAAAACCTTTAGAACAATATTTTCTGTATTTCAGTTTCAATCAATACTAATTACAGCACCTATTAGGGATGTCAAGACATAAGCTTTAAAGTACCCTTATTGATGGCCCTCAGGGATAGATCATTTATCAGTTCATTCATTATTTATTGCCTGCTCTTCTTCCTTTTCTGTCATAAGTTTGGAATTACATCTTCTTGTGCAGGAGCTAACTTGTACAAAAAAAAAAAAAAAACAATAACAATCTAATTTTGTGAGAAAACTCAGTTCCCGTTGGAGCCCTGTAGATCACGGATGGGCAAAGGAGACACAATTTTTTGTTGATTCTACCAAAGGGCCACATAGCACAACATACTTACCCAAATAAAACTGTCATTTTATATATAAATGCTAATGTATGTTAATTAAACCATCATACACTGCAGTAACTTAACATATTTCGTGCTCAAGTTCATGTATAACAGTTGTACTCTAATTTGATGAACATGAATACAAACCATTTAATGCAAACTAAAAATAAATGTATGTAAATTTATGTACTTGCGACTTCAGTAACCTTCTCATATACTGTAGCTCTGTGCAATGTGTTGTGGTGGTGACTTATATTAAAACCCTTCATAGCAGATAGCATCTCTAGGCAGATTAAACATAGATTTAACTTGAAATTTTGTGAGCAGACAGTCCTCCCCCAAACATATATATATATATATATA